CGCTGGCAGCGGGGGCAGCGCCGCGGGCCGCTCCGAGTGGCTGCAGTCCCGGCCTTGCCCTCCCATCCTGCTCCCACGCCGTGAGTGCGCCGCGCGGGCCCCCAGGGTGCGTTTGGTTCCCCTGTGTGTCGGGGTCCGGGTCCGGGTGCTAGCGGCGGTGTGTCGATCGGAGCGTCTGTGGGTGGGGGCGCGGATGCTTTTCAAAAGCTGTTCCAGTCTCTGTCCACGTGAGGCGTGTCCGTGTCTGTGAGAGCAGTGGGGGGATTCTTTGGGCTGTGGCTGCTCACGTGAGGTCCATGTTTGCGGGCTGTGCGGTGGGGGGAGGCGCGGGTGGATGGGTGATGGTTCCTTTTAGGAGCGCGGGTTTTGGGAGCCTGTGTGTGTTGGCGGAGGGTACCGAATGCTGCGGCCGATGGTGGTGTGTGGTGGGTGGGGTTGCTGATTTGCACTCTGGAATCTTGTGGCCCCGCTTGACCGAAGGGTTCCTTTCTCCCTAGTACAGACGCCTCCACCCCTGCTCCCTTTTCCGTCCTCCGTGGGCTCCAAGAAGCCCACCAGTCAGGATGGAGGACATCCTTCCTCCGCTGCGGGCACTGTTTGCTGGACAGGAAGCTTCCTGCAGAGGCTGTTTCTTGTAGGAAAGGACCCCTCTAGTTCTCCCTCAGCCTGGGCTCCGCCTGGAGGACTCCGAGCCCCTCCCTAGTTCCCACCACCTTCCTCCTTGACTTGGTTTCAGAACCTGGGTCGCAAACCTGCAGGGAACAGATGGTTGCAGATTGGAAGGGCAGGCTGCACCCCAGGGAGGTCAATATGACTAAAAGCAGGCCCTGTGCATGTTCCTGGTGTGGGAGTCCAGTATGGACCACAAACAAACAAACAAAAACCAGGACTTGCCCCAGAGGGGAGATGAATCCGAAATTTCAGGGTGGGTGCAGTGGTTATCTTTACAGGTCCCTCCAGCCATACTGGGCAGCACATCGGTGCCTGTCTCCTAAGCAGGGCTCTCGTTTGCTGCAGAATGCGAATGGGAGCTGCAGGCCTGACAGGTGCCCTACCTCTCTTGGCTTGGAAGCCTCTAGTGAGAGAGCACCTACTGTCTCATGCTGTGGGAAAGCTACCTTATGCTAAATGGAGGTCTCTCTCCTTGGAACTTTGTTCCTTTGTCTTGTTACTGCTTTTGATTTTGCTTCTCTTTGCTGAAAGGAACCTGCAGCGCTTAAACATAACTCCTGTCACCAGCGTTTATTGAGGACTTTCTATATGGTAGTTACCGACCCAGCTGCTTAGGAGACAGTGGCATTTCTGCTAATAGAACTTGAGGTAAAAGGACCATAGTTAAGATAGTAGCGCCTGTGTCCAGAAAACACGATTGCAGTACAGAAAGAAGAGTGCAGAGAGTTGATGCCATGGGTGACTTAAACTCAGACAACATTTATTTTGGAAAGCAAGGGGAGGGGCAGCCTGTGAGCATGCTCTAACATGCTTAGCTTTGTGATGGAAATTAGCAATCAAATCATCAAGCTAGTTTGAGATGGGATTTATCTGTGGGCACATTGCAGTCTGTAAGAGTCTTTAATTTGAAAGGGAGCCTCTGGAATCTCAGATTTTGAGAACAAGAAAACCCTCTCCCTCCCATTTTACAAATATGGGTCTGGGGTAGGAAGTTGCTTAGACTTACCTTGTGTAATGAAGTTAGTGACAGGACTAGATCCTAAATTTCATGACCTTAAAAAACGGCGGTGGCACACATGCCTTTAATCCCAGTACTTGGGAGGCAGAGGCAGGCAGATCTCTGATTTCGAGGCCAACCTGGTCTACAGTGAAAATTCAAGGACAACCAGGACTACACAGAGAAATCCTGTCTTGAGAAACTAAAAAAAGAAAAAAAGAAAAAAGAAAAATTGATTAAAATCGAATTCCATCACTTTTTCCCATCCTTTTCCTCCCTCCTAGTGACCCTCCTTCCTACCCCTCCCATACCCTCCTCTCAAATTGATAGCCTCCTTTTCTTTGGTTATTGTTACATATGTTGCACAAGTGTAGGGTCATGGGGACCCCAGCCCCAATGATACATCTTTCCACTTTTTAAACTTGAGGACATTTTTGCATCAGAGTTGAGATTCCTAGGGTCCTGACTGATGTGGCGTGGTGGATGGTGGTGCCTGTTATGAAAAGGAGAAGCACAGCAGGAAGACAAGGTCTGGAGGAAATCAGTTCCTTTTGGACTATTTCTGTTAGTCATCCAGGCTGAGATGTCCAAAAATGCAATGAGATATACAGGTCTGGGAGTCTTTCAGAACAAGGCTTTAGGGTTAGACCCTCATGCAAATTCAGGTTGTAGGAAATAATGAGATTACATAAACAGAGAAGAGACCCTGAGTCAAAACCCCACAAGGAATGGGCAGTGGGAGCAGCCAGTGCAATGAGTGGGGTATTTAGACCAGTGGGTCATAAAGTCATGTGGTTTAGGTGCTGCCCGTTTGAGGCTTACCCTCTTACACTCTTATTCTGTTTGTAAATGTTTCATATTTCCGTTCTTTTATTCAGTTTTCCCAAGGCACCTATCAAACTCATGTTTGTCCCGCAAGGTCCAGCTCAAGCACCCCTTCCTCTGGAAGCCTTTTATTCTCCACCAAGCTAGACACTTCCTGCCCTAGCAGTTTGAACTTGTCAATATCATGGCTCTTATCACATGGTCATCATGTATCTACATGTCAGTTTCCCACAGGAGAAAGGTAGGGAGCCACTTGACCTAACTTTGTGTCTCTAGAATGTGTCCAGGGACATTTATTTGATTGAATGATCTATGGACCTACTCCAACAGGCATTGGGGTGGGGGTGGGGGTTAGTGATGTGAATTTCATCGCTTTCCTTTCCTGGGAAGGAAAGGGTTGCTCAGGTTTAAGGGCTTTTCCTCATCCATTGTTGTTACCTTTCCTTTGGAGAAAGCCCAGAGGCTACAGCCTACAGACATTTGTTATTTTTCTGAGCCTCAAATGGTCAAATACACCTAAAGGCTAGTGAGTAGGAGTGAATCATTTTAGCAAGTGAGCCTAGCCAGTTCCCTCCACCCATACACACCTCAGCAATGTCTGTGCTCACCTCCAGTTCACAGCTGTGGAAGTCCTGTGCACTGGGAACCTAGTATGATTGGAGAAGAGTGTCATGGGGGAGACTGAATGTTTGAGAATTTGGAGAACCTGAAAAGCTTTGGAACCTATTTTCCCCTATATGTCAAGGATCCCATTTATTCAGCACTAGCTGTCTTTGTTCACCATCAGCTCCTTGGCTCTTGGCATCTGACTGCTCCATCTCCCAGAAAGTACACTACTTGAAGCTAGAGCAGCATCTTTGGGGGTTTTAACTGATGGGGCCTCTGATGCTTCACAGTGAGGATCACTGCTTTGATGGCGAGGCCTCTTCTCCCTTTGCCTCCAGACAGCTTGCCTCCTCTGACATTCCTGTCTCTGATTCCTTCCCACTCTTCTTTGCAGACTTTATATTCTAAGCCTTTATGTTAAATGTTGGCGTGCACAGGGGCTAAGTTGTAGGCTCTCCTTTCTCACTCTGCTCTGGTGTCATCCACTTCCTTGTGGCTTCAGGAATATCCCTACACCAAAGAAATCTAAACCCATGTCTTCTCTTTCCTACTTTCCAACTGACAGCCGGACTGCTCCACTTGAGTCATTGTGTTAAGCACTGGACTTGGCACCTTGTCATCCAAAGTCTTCTAGTGTCCAAGCTAGAAAACTAGCAACCATTTCTAATCCTTTCTCCTACCCCGACTCTTCATTTAGCACCAACTAGTTACCAGATTCTACTGGTTTCTCCCTGTGCAAACTAGTCCAGCCTCCCCTGGCAGCTACCATCTTTAAGTCAGCCTCTTAAACTTCACTCTTGACCCCTGTATTTTCCACATGGCATTCAAAGAATCTACTTTTGTCATTCTGGGCTTAACCTCCCCCTCCCTCCACCACCAAACTTTTCCTTTGCACTTTGGATAAAGCCTTAATCCCCTAGCAGGGAAGGGGGTAAAGTCTAAAGTCCTTAATAAGGGCAACAAAGCATTGTGTGGTGTGGACCCTGCTTAGCTCATGTGTTAGCCCTCTCCTGCCACAGTGGATAATGCAGCTCCCAGAGACAGAAGGCACCACGTGCTCTATAGCTTGCCCATCCTCAGTCTCCATTCCTCTGGGCCTATCTGTGCCTAGGGAACTTTGTGCTTCGAGCAGTCACGTTCCCCTATCACGTTCATCACCACACTGCATTGCAGAAATCTGTTTATTTGATTGTGGGATCCATGAAAGCTCAGCTGTGTTCATTTACCTTCGTATCCCTGCAGAGGTGTCCAGTGAATTCTGAATGGGGATGAAGTGCCTTTAGGATTGAGCCAGAAAGGATATGGGTGGGATACGGCACAAAGACACCCACGAAGGAGGATACAACCTAGCTTTGTGTCCAGGGTCCTCCAAGTGTCTACGGTGATAGATAGTCCACTTGAGTCTGAGCCTGTTGGACTCTGTCTAGAACAGAACGGTGACCCAGGAGCAGGAAGACCCCAGGAAATCAATGAGTCAATCTAGCGAACCCTAGATCGAAGCTGGGGTATGGCCACAGCAGAAGTGATGTCCTGTGAATCTGAGTGGAAAGCTGAAACAGGAAGGGGAAGAGAGGGAGGAGCTGTTGGTCCCTGGATGTAGCCCAATTCCCGCCTCTGTGACAGGCTGGAAGATCCCCTGGGTTTAGAGAGGGGTGGAGCCTAATGTCCAGCTGCCCCAGCCAGGCTCAGCAGGCCTTCCCACTTACAGTTTCAAGCTTGAGTCTGTCTTCAGCCCCCCCTCTTCTGTCGTCTAGCTGCCCTCCGTCTTATGGTGTCCCCCAAATGCCAGTACTCACATCAGGAGAGAATTTTCTCAGGCAAGTCCTTCCTTGCCTTCCCACACCCAGCAGCAAATCCACTCAGGACAAATGCACTTTAGCCCTCTTACTGTCCCCAAACCTGGAGAGCACTCTGGGCTGTCATTCTTCTATTGCCTTTAAGATGCCTGTGGTGCATCCGGCTGGGCATAGCAGCGGTGATCTGGTCCTACTCACTGCCTATTTTTCAGCTTCTTCCGGGGTGTTCCTGTCATGGATTATCTACATCTGCTCTGTTAACTTCACACAGTCGCGCATCACTCTGGCCTGGTTTCTGCCCTAACCACTCCATCAGCCAACCATAGTGAGCACGTCTAGTCTTTAACCGATTTCACCCCCCATCACTCTCCACTTTCTGTCCCAAAGTGCTCTATCATCCAGTCATTGCTTTAAGGGTCATTAATATGCCAATGATTCCAAATCAATAACAAGCCCAGACTGAGCTCCTGTATTTTGCTTCTTCCTTAATGGCTCCACCTGGACATCATGTATATAGTTCAAACTTAGCGCACCTGGACCAGCATGACCCCGACAGCCCCTTATTAGCCGTTTCTGTCTTTCGTGGTCTTGAATTCACTCCTCTGAGAAACAGGGGAGTTGTTATCAATGCCCCTCTTTCCTCTGGCATCTAGAGCATGACACTGTCCTCATTCAGCCTTTCTGCCTCTAGCTCTGTAACACTGTGCTACCTGAAGAACTGGGGTAACTTCCTTACTAGCCCTCCTCACCCCATTCTGGCTTCCATTTCTCTGCAATTGTCATCATACCAAAAGAGTGTCTTGGTTTGTTTTCATTTATTTGTAAATTGCTTCATCCCTTTGCCTGTCTTAGGATAAAGTAGTATTCAGTGTTCTTGTTGTTATTCACTTTGCTTTAAGCACATAGTCCATTTAAGTACGAGCCTTCTCCCAAGAATGTGCATTTCCTTTTGCTTCAGGCCTCTCCCCGGAGAAATGTTTCTACCAATACCGCATCGTTCCTACCAGTACCCCCCACTTCTCTGCTTGCAGAGCCCTTTGTGATCACTCAGTAAAGAGCTTATTTCCTCCTCACATTTTTCTTCATAGTACTCCTTGCTACCTTTGGCCAATTATGTATTTACTTGTTACTTATAATACTTTCTTCTTATTATTTGTTTTTGAGACATGATCTCTCTACATAGCTCTGACTGTCCTGGAACTCATTATGGCCTCAAACTCACAGGGACCTACCTGCCTCTGCCTCCCAAGTGCTGGGATTAAAGCCTCTAACCCAGCTACTTATAATACTTTTTAATCCGCTATCACTTCCCCGCCTTTGCTCAGACATTTCCAGTGTCTCTGCACAGTAGGCATTTAGTAAATAAATATTTCAAATTAATCATCAGATCCAGTAAAGATAGATCATTCTTAACCAGACTCCTTGCTAAGCCCTTGAAATGGAGAGGTAACATAGTATGCCTGCTTTCAAGAATACTGCATATGAAGGGAGCAGAGAAGTAACAGAGTCGTAGGATGGGGTAAGGTCTAGGGTGGAGGAAATACAGGGACTTGAGGGACAGGTAGCACCCAACCCAGACTGTGGGAAGTCCCAACGGACCTTCCTAAAGGAAGTGACATTTACATGAAAACCAGGCAAGGGCATGAGAGTACCTCAGGCAGAAGGGGCAGAATGTGTAACTACAGAAACAAAGAGAACATGGAGTTTTCTAGGACTGGAAACCATTATGAGAGATCATAGACTGTGAGGCCAGAGATTGAGTGGGAGGTATGGACAAGGTATTGTTCAGCCTTTTGGCCCAGTTTAAAGGCTGTATCCTCTGGACAGTGGAGAACCATTGAAGGAATTTAAAACGAGCAATGGTGGGGTCAAATCTCTGTTCAGAAAAGTCACAGTGGTTAGAAGGGGTGGTGGATGGGATGGCACAGTTACTGCATTCCAGTAGAGAGTCCAGGTCTGCGTGAGATGGGAGCAACAGCTTGGGTTTGGCAGAAAGGAATGCTTGGGGATCAGTCTCAATACTGATTGGTGTGGCAAAGAGTGCAACCCCAGGAGAGGGGCTACCTGAAGTGATTCTTGGAGACTGGTTGGAGGTGCTGAGCAGAAAAGAGTTGGGGTGTCGGTGAATAAGCTATTCCTGTACTGTGACTTGTACCCTCTCAGACTTTTAGAATTAGAAACTGAGGTTTGAAGAACGATCCAGAATCACCAAGATGGTAAAAGAGGGGCTTCAAAATACAGTGTAACCCTAAATCTGCGCTCTGAAATAATGCCATGCTCAGGAGTCACTCAGCCTGTGCGCTTCACCCTGATCTTCCAGCCACCACCTTGTCCTGTCCCTGGCAAGGAAGAAAGGGGCACATTTCTCTGCAGGAGATCGGGTGGGGAGAGGGAATGCTGGCCTCCCTGCTGTTGACTATTTCTCTGTACACAGGCTGGTGTGAGTGGCAGGAGCCATCTGTGGTCACCATGGCAAAGAGGGAGGACAGTCCTGGCCCGGAGGTACAGCCAATGGACAAGCAGTTTCTGGTGTGCAGTATCTGCCTGGATCGGTACCGGTGCCCCAAAGTTCTGCCTTGTCTACATACCTTCTGTGAAAGGTGAGGGGAGCTACCAGAGAGGGACAAGGACCCTGCAGGGCCTCTTATCCCCCGAGGGAAAAGCGTGTTATAAATAAAGGGAATGGGCACACGTGGGAGGGAAGGACAAGTGCGTCCCATCGTGCAGGAGATAAGGATTTGCTTGCAATAAGCAATGAGAGAACCAGGAACTCTGAATACTGGGCCAGAGTGTTACCGGATCACAGAGCAGCCAGAGGAGAAATCTTATAGACCAGCACTGGAGCCAGTATAGTTTGTGACTGATGGAAGGGTGGAAATATGAAGTTAGGTGTGTTCTTCCCTTCCTCTTCTGAGGCACTAAGTGAAAGGCAGCCCTTCCCAGCTTCTAGGCTTCCATTGATTGTGTTTTCATTCTGCTAATATTTCTTTGCTGAGTAACTACTATGTGTCAGACCCTATATGAGTCATTGAGTACTCACCGAGGAGCAGAACTACAGACAGGATTTTGTTTTATTTATTTATTGAGACAAGATCTCACTGTATAACCCTTGATAGCATGAAATTCACTATATAGAGCAGGTTGGCCTTGAACTCACAGACATCCACCTGCCTCTGCCTCCCAAGTGCCTGAGACTGAAGGCATGCACCACCATACCCATCCCTATAGACACGATCTTCATGCTTAAAGGGTCTGTAGTAAAGTGAGAGAGGTAGCAATCAAATAATCATAGAGCTGGATTGTTAGACCCACAGTGGTCCTTTGCATCCAGAGATGAACAGGAGTTAGGCAGGTAAAGGGAATTTAAGAGCAGACTACGCAGAATGGAAAGCTCAACAAGGCCATGTAGCCTGGGGAACGTGCTGGATGAGGGGCCTGTGAGAAGCCCTGTGTAGCTGGAACAGAGTGAGTGATTAGAAGTGGCCTGGGATGAAACTGGATAGGGAGGTGGACTCGGTACGTCCATTGGGAAATTTGTCTTTCCTGATCGCCACTCAAGGCCTTTGTGTGGTTTTCTTCATGATCACATTGTATTTTTGGCAACATCTGTCTGGCCTCATAGCTCATGGCTATATCTTAGATGACCTAGTCCCCGGGTCTTCTCGACAGAGTCTCTCCAAACCTTCCTTCTATCCCCTGTTTCTTCTAAATCTGATCCTGCTTTCCTGGCAACCCTGCTCTTCAAGATTCCAGCTTTACCATCATCTCCATTTATCAGTGAGCAAAGATCTCAGCCTTCCTGCCCACTCAAATTCTCCCATCATCCTGGGACCCCCACTACCCACTTATGTCTCGGTTCCTAATGCTGCCCTGGACATCATCTGCCGTCTGAATAACAGTCCCTCCCTCACCATCAGTGCAAGTTCCCAGGTGACAGATGACAGACTAGTACTTCTGTGACCTTCCAGTCTTCCTCCTCTAGCTCCTGTCACCTGCTACTGCTGTGCCACCTTTGACTCAGTCGAAAGCCTAACCTCCTCCCTCTCCTCCCATGTACCACTTCGGCCCAGGCTTCCCTCTCTTTTCTCTCCATCTTTGGCTCTACAGCTGATCATCTAACTGTTCCTAGCCCACTTCCCTCACACCTTTGTCCTTTTCTAAGGCCATGCCATAGAATTTTAGTGCTGTAACTGGATGCCTCTGCACTTGGTTCTATGCCCAGATTACTGAGCATTCTTGGGGGAAATCAGTGACTGTTTACAGTTGGCCATGGACTTTCTACTTGATTTACATGTATTGATTTACTTAAGATATTTTTTCACTTGTTCGTGAGTGCTGTATGAGTGGGTTCCTTTTTCAGCTGTGTAAGTCCACATACATTCATGTAGAGACCAGAGGAAGATTCCCAAGTGTCTTTCTGTATTGTTGTCTGCCTTACTGTCTTGAAACAGGATCTTTCACTGAGCTGGAAGCTCATTGTTTGGTTAGGTTGGTTGATCAGTGGGCTTCTGGAATCTGCTGCCTCCACCCCGCAACGCTGGAGTTCTAGGAACATCAGCTATACCTGACTTTTTGTGCGGGTGTTGGAGATTCAAACTCAAGCCTTCATTGCTTGCACAAGTGCTGTTACCCACTGAAACATCCTCCCAGCTCCAAGAGATACATTGTTCCCATTTTAGAGATAAGGAAACTAAGCTTGAGCCATTAAGTTATTAAGTACATAGCCAAGACTCCGCAGCATATAAATAACTGAAGGATGTAAGGAGAGAAGGGTGCTGGCTGAGGAAGCAACGGATCTGGGTGTGATGGAATACACTTTAATTTCCATCACCTTGGAGGCTAGAGGGACTATGTAGTGAGACTGTCTCAAAGGGAAAGAATAAAAAGTAACCAAAAAGGATGTAAACAGAGTAGAAAAGCAGAAAAGAAGCCAGTGTGTGCTGATGAGTGAGGCAGGAGAGGAGGAGGTGGAATCAAAGTCTCTTGTACCCAGGCTGGTGTGGTACAGGTGAGCCTCTTGTCTCAGTCTCCCGAGTGTTGTGATTACAGGTGTGTGACATCATGTCTGACTTAATTAGATTTTTAAAATTTGATTGTTTTTATTTATTTTTTGTTTTTTATTTCCCAACAAAAGTTTCCCTTCCCTGCCTCTCCTTCCAGTTCTTCATTCTACCTCACCTCCCATTCTCTCCTCCTCTGTTCCTTTTCAGATACGGTGAGTCTCCCTTCTGTGGCTGACAGCCAGCCGTGGTAGATCAAGTTGCAGTGAGACTAGGCATCTCCTCTCCTACAACTAGTGAGATCTATAAATGTAGCATATAGGCCCTCTGCATATATGTTTAAAAAATTTAAGGTTCACTAGTTGTATGAAGAATAAATATTAAAGAACCAAGGGAAGAAACAAAACCGTTTGGAAATTAAGGCAATCCAAGGATGTTTGACAAACAGGAAGGAGTTGTCCATCACTTACAAGGTGCATTGTGGAAACAGCTAGGAGAGAGGGATGAGAGCCAGCAGGGACAGACTGGGACAGATTTCAGAGTCCATGAAGTGACAGTTGATGAGATGTGGGTGGCAGTGGGAGGGAGCAGGGAATGGACAGATGAGGTGGAGGGAAGGAAAGGTTCTTGGTGGTAAGACACTAAGCATGAAGAAACCATGCTGGAGGAGGGTCATCCGGTAGATGTCAGAGCCACTGAGGAAGATGCCAGAATGTGAGGGGGCGGGAGGGTATGACAGAAGAGCTGGGTTAGGAAAAGAACTTCGATAAATGGAGAAACAGCTCGAAGGTCAGTGGACGCAGTAGCAAGATGGTGTGGTATAGGCAGAAGAGAAGCTTCAGAAGAGCTGCAGACACATTAAATATTCTAGATGGGAAGATGGAGGGCTCAGCCCCACCGTCTGGCCCTAAGGAATGTGGAGCATGAAACAAAAACCACTCTACTGGGAGGGATCTTAAGGAGAAGTAGGTCACAGAGAAACCAGTTAGTATTTGTAAAGCACTTAAAATCATTCTGGACACAATGTTGTCACATTTTAATTAAGAACCAAAGTATGGGAAGAGCCTAAGGTACAGGACATTTGCACCGTGGGTATCTTCCTTCCATAGATTCATGATCTCCAAGCACAGTTGCCTTCAGTCTGGTGTCTGTCTCTAGTAGTCTTTGTCCTCTCCCTCCCTCTGGTGACTAATCCCGGCCACCACCATCCCTCACTCCTCCCTTTTTCACTCTGTGGTTGATCCTGCCTCAGGCAAGTTAGACACCCTTATTCTGACTCTGACCCATGCTCCTCTAAAGCTGCTCTTCTTGTGTTCCTTCCCTCCATCAAAAGACGGGGTCCATGCCTCCCCTTTAGGCCCAGCGCGTCCCTCTCCTGGCTTCCTAGCCTCCCCCATCGCCCATTCTCTACTGCGAACTTCAGCTTGAAAATAAGTGGGACTGTGGTGTGGCTCAGTGCTAGGTCGGGTAAATGGTAAAACCTACCCCTTATTAGCACAGAGAAGCTATTTTCTTGTCCCCTGCAGCACCAGCGAGTTCTTCAAGCCCCTTCCCGCTCAATACCCAGCCTCCCCGCCACTCTCCAACTGGTATCACTCAGACTTTTCTCCCGCTGCTGTTGCCATCGGTGTTACCTTCCCAGAGAAGTCTCCTCATGTTTGCCAAGTGCAGTGGGCACTTCCCACCCTAGTGACTCATTCCCTCCTTCTGTGCGCTCCTTGCTGCCCCGACACTCTTCTCCCGCATGTTCATCCTTGCTGAGTTCTCTGTCCCGGGTTCTCTCCCCGACCACTGTCCACATCTTCTCTGATCTCATCCTCTCTCTTGGCTGCTGAGGCCGTCTGAATGTTGATGTCCCCTGTCTCTGTCTCCTGCCCCCCCTCAGTGCTGTTCTCTGTGTTTCTTTTTGTGATTTATGTCACCATCGTTCTCTTGGATGCCTAGGCTAGGAGGCCAGAAGCCAATTAAGAATGGTCTCCCTCACTCCTCATACCTACTCATCATTGCTGGCTTCCCCCTTCTTTTTGTTTTTCTCTTATTCCCTAAATTTACTCTACCACCACCCCTGCTGGGCCTCATTACATAGCCCAGGCTGGCCTTGAAATTGAGCCAGGCCTCTTACTCAGTCTCCATAGTGATGGAACGACAGGCATGTGCTGACACACCTGGCCATGGTTCTTCAGTATGTTCTCACCCATAGCCTGAATCCAGGTCTATCTCTCCTCCTCCCTGGAATAGTGTGAGTCTGTTGGTTAAGCACAGGGCTGCTTTACATCTAAAACCAGGCTCCAATGCTCCAATCCATTAGCTTGATTACTCTGACCATTTACCCTTCATGCGCTTCTTCTCGTACAAAGTACAAAGCGTAGCACCCAGCACTATGTCCTTCTGGCGTCATGTAGCTACTGCTGCTGCCGCTGCTACCGCTGCTGCTCCCACAGCCGCTGCCTCTGTAGCTGCTGCTGCTGGGGTCCACTGCCAGGCTCCTCCACCTTCTCTTCTGATTCCTTGCTGTCCCCTTCATGCTAACATACTTTATGTACACTCCTCCCTCTCCTTCCACCTTTCTCTGCTTGGCCTAACAATTATTTCTCCACATATTTCCTTCCCATCACCTCTGAAGCCTCTTCTGGCCTCCTCGCCACCCACCTGAGCCACACGCATTTCCTCATGACCACATCTACTATGCCCTTTATGCATTGTGCTTTAGTGGGCCAGACACTTTACATTTAATCCTCCTGACATGAAATCGGGCCTTTTACATTTAATCCTCATGCAATTGAATTCCATACTGTCTCCATCTTATAAGGGAAGAGACCTTGGCTTGTGAAAGTAACTTGTTAGGGTCACACAGTGGATTGGGTCCCTGGCCAGGGAATTGAACCAAGGCACAGTAACTCAAGGACCAACGTCCTTACTCTTTAAACTCTAATTCTCTGTGTGTTTTCCCTCTGAAGACTAGAACTATTTTAAAAGCTGGTACTGCATTTTATTTTTTATCCCCAGAGCTTGGCACAAATTTGGCAAGAATAAGCAGTCAGTAAATGTTTAATGAGTTAGGAGGGCAGGAGAAGCAGGAGGAGGGCTTGTTACATATTTTCTTGAGGAGACTTGGTAAACACCTGTGAAAGGTGAGCCTGTGTTTGTTCAAGTGGAGGAATGCAGACTTGTCTTTTCTTAGATAGACCACGGATGTATTTCTGCTTCATTCTCAGGGGCCTTTTAACACTTGCATGCCAATGAGGCCTCTGTGTATGTATGTACGCTCCACACAAAAGTTTCAAAATGAAATATTAATGGCACATCTGTGTGAAAAGGGTTAGGCACCTCTGAGGGTGCTTGTGTTCCCCCCACCACTTTGACTCTCCCTTCTCCTTGCCCAGATGCCTCCAGAACTATATCCCTGCTCAGAGTCTGACACTGTCCTGTCCAGTGTGCCGGCAGACTTCCATCCTCCCAGAACAGGGTGTCTCAGCCCTGCAGAACAACTTCTTCATCAGCAGCCTGATGGAGGCCATGCAGCAGGCACCTGATGGGGCCCACGACCCTGAAGACCCCCACCCCCTCAGCGCAGTGGCTGGCCGCCCTCTCTCCTGCCCCAACCATGAAGGCAAGGTGGGCCCAAGCGAGGCCCAGTGAGGCCAGGATTTGGGGTGGGAGGAGAAGGAGAGGTGATAAGGGTAGGGTGGCCGTGGGTGGGGTGTTGACAGGGGTAAAGAGGGCCGAAGTGGGGGGACAAAGAAGTGTAGTGTCTGGCTGTTCCTCATAGGAGCCCTTGTCCCGCCAGACGATGGAGTTTTACTGTGAGGCCTGTGAGACGGCCATGTGTGGTGAGTGCCGCGCAGGGGAGCACCGGGAGCACGGCACCGTGCTGCTGCGCGACGTGGTAGAGCAGCACAAGGCAGCCCTGCAGCGCCAGCTTGAGGCTGTGCGTGGCCGGTAGGCATCTTCAGGGGAGCAGGGGCTTGGCAGGGGCTGTGGGGAGGGAAAAGAAAGGGCCTGGGAAGGGCAAGAATAGAAGGCTCTAGAAGGTCGAATAGGGGTTCTCCCAGAGGGCAATAGTGAGGCTGTGTTGAGAAGGACTGATCTGGACGCCCTCCAGCGGTCCTGGTATGAGACGTCTCACCTCTGCAGATTGCCGCAGCTCTCCGCAGCTATCGCCTTAGTCGGGGGCATCAGCCAACAGCTGCAGGAGCGCAAGGCAGAGGCCCTGGCCCAGATAAGTGCAGCCTTTGAGGACCTGGAACAAGCCCTGCAGCAGCGCAAGCAGGCTCTGGTCAGCGACTTGGAGAGCATTTGTGGGGCCAAGCAGAAGGTGCGTCGGGTCATCCTTGCCAACCATAGTCTGTCATGAGATGCTCTTTTGCCTCCATTGTCCATTTAAGGTTTCCTTTTCTCCAGCCTGTTCTGCCTGTCCACATGGCCTGTCATTGTCCACCTGGTCCATCACCACTGTGGTCCTCTGCCTCCCTGTCCACCTGGTCTATCACTGCTGTGGTCCTCTGCCTCCCTGTCCACCTGGTCTGTCACTGCTGTGGTCCTCTGCCTCCCTGTCCACCTGGTCTATCACCGCTGAGGTCCTCTGCCTCCCTGTCCACCTGGTCTATCACTGCTGTGGTCCTCTGCCTCCCTGTCCACCTGGTCTATCACTGCTGTGGTCCTCTGCCTCCCTGTCCACACGGTCCGTCACTGCTGTGGTCCTCTGCTTCCCTGTCCACACGGTCCGTCACTGCTGTGGTCCTCTGCCTCCCTGTCCACCTGCATCTATGTGTATTTCTTTCCTGCCATGATACTACAAGCTCATCAGTAACCACAGCAGCTCCATTTTGGCCAGTCTGCACTCCCACTCAATCTCCTCTTCTTCAACAGGTGTTGCAGACACAGTTAGACACACTGCGCCAGGGTCAGGAACACATTGGCAGTAGCTGCAGCTTTGCGGAGCAGGCCCTGAGACTGGGCTCTGCCCCTGAGGTATTGCTGGTGAGAAAGCACATGCGAGAGAGGCTGGCCGCACTGGCGGCTCAGGCCTTCCCAGAAAGGCCGCATGAGAATGCACAGCTGGAACTGGTCCTGGAAGTCGATGGGTTGAGGAGATCGGTACTCAATCTGGGTGCACTGCTCACTACCAGTGCCACTGCACACGAGACAGTGGCCACGGGGGAGGGCCTGCGCCAGGCGCTCGTGGGCCAGCCTGCTTCACTCACCGTCACCACCAAAGACAAAGATGGGCGGCTGGTGCGCACAGGCAGCGCAGAGCTGTGTGCAGAGATCACTGGGCCTGACGGCACACGCCTCGCAGTGCCAGTGGTGGACCACAAAAATGGCACCTATGAGCTGGTGTACACTGCGCGCACAGAAGGTGACCTGCTCCTCTCAGTGCTGCTCTATGGACAGCCGGTTCGTGGCAGCCCTTTCCGTGTGCGTGCCCTGCGACCCGGGGACCTGCCACCTTCCCCAGACGATGTGAAGCGCCGGGTCAAGTCTCCCGGTGGTCCTGGCAGCCACGTGCGCCAGAAGGCAGTGCGTAGGCCCAGTTCCATGTACAGCACTGGTGGCAAACGAAAGGACAACCCAATTGAGGATGAACTCGTCTTCCGTGTTGGTAGGGAGGCCAAGCACGGAGCCAAATGAAGGTTGGGGGGAGGGCCTGATGGGAGCCTAAGGAAGGATGGTGGAGGCTGGCTCAGGCAGGGGCTCAGTGAGGTGGGAAGAGAGGTTCAGACTGATCTCAGTTAATTGGTGTTTTCCTTCTTCCTCTTGCCCACAGGCAGCCGTGGAAGGGAGAAAGGTGAATTCACTAATTTACAAGGTGTGTCTGCTGCGAGCAGTGGCCGCATAGTGGTAGCAGACAGCAACAACCAGTGCATTCAGGTAAGCCTCTTTGCCTAGCTCCTTTGCTCCCAGAGAGGATTTGCACACCACAGCCTTCAGCTCACCTCCTGAAGATGAAACCAACAACTAGAACCATCTTTAAAGAGCCATGACTCTGAGCCCCTCTTGCCCACCCAGGACCGTCAGTCAGAGCCAGGGTTCTTGTGCTTTGTTGCCGTTCCTTCCCAGGCCATGCTGAGGCCGTGTAAGCTCCTCCATTGGCTCCTTCCTTTCTCCTCTCTGTCTTTTCTTGAACCATCTGCTGGCTAGTCTACTTAACTTGCAGGTCTGCCCTTCCCCACTATCTTCCAGCATACCAGCCTGGCTCCAGGGTTTGTTATCTGCCTGAAGAATGCAGCCATCCAGTTGTCATCAGCTAGAGGGTGGCACACAACCTCAAGTGGTTCTATACCTGCTTTTCTTTTCCTTGTGCCTCACACAACTGATTCAGGCATCAGTCATGCTCAATGTTCATGCTCTCTGATGTACTGCGAGCTCTATGCTACAACCAGGAAAGATGGCTACCCTTTATATCTCTTGCAGAAAGCCCCGATCCTAGCACAGTGAATGTGAATGTGGCACATAGCGTAGTGATTGAATGCTTGGGTTCTGAAACCAGACACCTCAGTTGGAATCCTGGCTCTCCCTGTACTAGCAAGTCATGTGACCCCTTGGCACTGTAGTTAACTCAAGTGTAAAATTAGGAAAAGCATTTCTCGGGATTGTTGGGAGTATTAAATGGTGTAATGCAGTATACCTAACACCTAGCTGTTGTTAGAAATGTCATTGTCCAGGTATAGACTATAAACAAAGGCAAGGGGATGGGAAAGAGCTGGAGCGGGTAGTTCACATCCCATCCTGGCTGCAAGAAGCTTGCTATCAGGAACTTGGAGAGGCCGAGGTCAGATTGTAAATGGTTTGGGAAGTGATTCTATGGAATTTTGGGTTTACCCTGTGGGATTAGCTACTGTGCACCTCAGCTCTTAGAAATGTACACCGTAACGCAAAGATCCTTACTTTAAAACACCTGCACCTTCAGATTTCCTGACCCTGCTTGAACATCCTTGTTACGAGTCCAGTTCTGCCTTGGCGCTCCACTCCACCTCGCGGAAACCCTTGCAGCCAGTCTCAGACAGCCGCTCAAAACAGGTCACTGTTTTGCTTAGGGTAGAGGACCGGAGAAGACAAGGAAGGGATTTGGACCGGCCTAGATGATGGAGGGGAGATGTGCTTGGGAGTTCTGGGGTAATGATGGGATTCTACTCAGCATCACCTCCCACCTCCTTCTTCTTTATTCCCTTTACGCCAGACATGCTTTCTAGCACAGAGGTTGAGATTTGGAACACCTGCCCTGTTCACACACACAGCAGCTGGTGCTGCTGGCCCTCTGGCAAGGGGTTGTGGGAGAGGCCTGGCATAGTCCTCTTTTCGAACATCCGAACATCCACTACTCTGTTACAGTCCTGGCTTCTCTTAATTCCAAGTCTACCCTGATATCATATCTGCTGGAAACCTGTTCTTGGATTCCAAAGCCGAGTGTTTCCGTCTCTTACTCTGGACGCCTCAGGAGTGATGTAGGGTGAGCTCACATCTATAGGATGTGTCTCCCCTACTTTGCTCATGAGGCTTGAGGGTCCTTGTGAGCTTGTCTTATAGTGCAAGGTATCACCCTACTGAAAGAACACACATGCCCAACAACAAGAAAATGCTTTATGATTTTGAGCAAGCAATTTAATTTGTAAACAACTGGCACTGTGTTATTGTCATAGTGCAAGCATTTCTCTTTCTCTGCAGGCAGCATGCAGATCACATTCTTCTCTGTCTTCCACGGCCCATTGCTGTGGGAGTTTTCTTTTTTCTGGGTTGGTTCATTATTTTTACCAGATTTATCTTTTTGTTGTTGTCATTTTCTGTTAAGATCCTTGAAGTCAGAGATCTACTTAATGTCACCATGGTATAGGAGAGAGGTGTAGGGGCCAAAATGAGAGCCAGCAAATTCTAGTGCTGGGAAGGAAATAGTGTAACAACTTTTACTGAGTAGCAGATGCCGTGGGATAAGGGCCTGGGGTGGAGAATGGAGAGACTTGGTGGGCAGGGTCAGTGGCGTTCCCATTAAGAAGCAGGCCCCATTTTAAGTTAATGAGTTCACTTCTATCCCTATTGAGTTTTGAGGTTGCTGTGTGGCATTCAAATGGATCTGTTCATTGAGATTAGGCCTGAGATTGAACTGGAGGATTCTTTTGTTGGTTGAATGCATCCTCAATGCCAGAAGCCTTACACAACTGAAAATGCAGCGGCAGACAAAGCTGATACAGCACCAACTCCTAACTGGGCTTGTGTCCTTAGAAGAGGCGGACCACAGGTCCTCAGCCACAGGGTGACAGCTGTTAAGAAGAAAGCTGTAAAATGTGTACTGTAGGCCCTAACTTTACATGTATGTACTGACGTGAAGAAAGTGGGAACTCCGAAGAAGTGACCTGGAAACTTCGGAGCTCTCAAGATAAATAGGAGTTGGCCAGTTCTGATAGGGGTTCGTGAGCAAAATGAGGCTTTCGAAACCCTCCCCACTGTTGAGTCTGCACTGAAGCTGCCAGAGTGGGAGACGGCTGGTGGACTACCTCACTGCTGGTCCTTTTAGTCCATTCCTTACCCTGTGGTACTTCCTTTCTCCTGACGATTTTGACTTTCCATAAGACTAGTGCAGAACCCAAGTGCTATACTAATTGACCAGGCTTGCTGCAAGGTCATGTCAGGAGAACGTGATGTGCTGTGGTAGGATGGGTCTGGAGGACTTCTCCCTGGTTGGCCCTGCCTGTGAAAGGGAGAGTGGAGCTGAACTGAATATCGAGCTTAAGGCATGGAACCTGGGCTCTCTGTGCTAGCTTCTTGGCTCTGATCCATCCTGTCTCCCCAGAGGCTGTAACAAAATGGAGTGTATGAGAATTACGCAACGGGTGATAGAGCTGTCAAATTAGCTTAAGAGGAAAAGAAGATTAAAAGAGACGTTTTAGGATGAAGAGATCTTAGCATCTTGAGAGGCTAAGGCGCAGGAGTAGGAGAAGGAGAGATTGAAAGATTCATCCCAGGGCACTGGAGAGATGGCTCAGCGGTTAAGAGTACCTGCTGCTCTTCCAGAGGACCAGGATTTGATTCTCAGCAACTACATGGCAGTTCACAAGTGTCTTATTACTCTAATTTCAGGGGATCTAGTGCCCTCTCCTGGCCTCCATGGACCCCTGGCGCTGGTGGTATACAGAGATGTGTGCAGGCAAATAAATACTCATACACATAAAATAAAAACCTTAAAACAAAGTTCTGTCCAGAAGAAAGGCTCCCTTGTCAGCCCATAAACCGAAGGGAACTGGACTCTCTCCGTACCTACCCTTTTCCACGCTGCTGTGAAGTTCTGTTGTTTTCCTCCTGTGATCCTTTTTGAACCCATCTGCTTCCCTCTCGACTGTTTCCTTGGTACAAACCATCATTCTTTCTCATCTGGATTCCTGCTACACCTCCTTCCAGTCCTGACTCTTTCCAGTTAGAATACTTTTGTAAAAGCAGATCTGTCACTTCTCTGGTCATAAATTTTCAGTGGCTCCTCCTCATTCTACCCAGGGTAAAATGTGATTCCTATTCACTACTCCATCTGCACTAGCAAGGTCCTCAGGCAGGGTTCGTGCTAGCTGGACTCCATACTTTTCAAAGATTGTTCTTGCTAGTTCTTGCTATAACCGGCATCTTTGTAGGGGTTTGCTCACATATCGCCTTCCCCACCGTCCCTTGGTTCCTCTTGTGTCCTCACTCTCCCCTCCATATCCCTACTGTAAGTCCTCTAAGGTCTCTTTTGCGTGGTTCCTCTGTGCCCCTGGCATGGTGTCAGCAAGTGCTTGTGGAATGACTGAATAAATGGGATCTTACTAGGACCCAGCTCCCTTTCCTCTGTACCCACAGTGTTTCCCCTCCTCGCTGCTCCCCCCCTTGCTCCTCTACTCCAGGTTTTCTCCAATGAGGGCCAGTTCAAGTTCCGATTTGGGGTGCGTGGGCGCTCACCTGGGCAACTACAGCGTCCTACAGGTGTGGCAGTGGACACCAATGGAGACATTATTGTGGCAGACTATGACAACCGTTGGGTCAGCATCTTCTCCCCTGAGGGCAAGTTCAAGGTGAGAAGCTTGCTGTTGCTGTGCTCTGAACCCCTGGTGACCTGCTCCACTGACCACGCTAGGTCAGGGCCTAAAATGCTCTATCACCAGCTCAAGGTTCTGCTTTGCTACCAGGCCAGGAATTAACTCTCTGTTGTACTAGTCAGGATGAAGTCCCTTATGGTATGCCCTTCCTATAGACCAAGATTGGAGCTGGCCGCCTCATGGGGCCCAAAGGAGTGGCTGTGGACCGGAATGGACATATCATTGTGGTGGACAACAAATCCTGCTGTGTCTTCACCTTCCAGCCCAATGGCAAGCTGGTTGGGCGTTTTGGAGGCCGTGGGGCCACTGACCGCCACTTTGCAGGTATGAGAGAACAACCCCAAGGTCCAACCTGTGATACTTGAGTTCCACGGAATTTCCCAGGGTCCTTTAGCTATAAAGGCCCCTTCTATATCTTGACTCCAATTCCCCTTTCCTAATATCTAGTTCCAACCCTCCAGAGGCAGGGTATCTCGCCCTGCCCAGACATCCTACCCTTCTCTGACTGAGTGCCTCAGCTTAATTCATTAAGACCCGCTTTCTATTTCCAGGGCCCCACTTTGTGGCTGTAAACAACAAGAATGAGATTGTAGTAACGGATTTCCATAACCATTCAGTGAAGGTCAGTGCCCTCGCTCCATGGTCACTGTCCCAGTGACCCTTCCCCTTCTAAAAACTCCTTCCTCCCTTCCCGCCTTCTCCCAAGCCCCTTTGCAATCCTTCATTGAACCAATAAACATTTATGGCATGGTGACTTTGTCCCAGGCACTGTGCTAGAAGCTGGGGATTCAGTGCTGAGTAAAACAAACCCATTCCCTGTCTTCTTGGTTAGAGTCTGTCAGGGACGAGAAGACAATCGGGAAATTACAATCGGAAGTGATAGATTCTGGGATGGACGCAGGGAACTGTGGGAGGAACAGGGGAAGGCCTGAAACACCGGACAAAGGATGCAGAGGCAGTCAGGTGTAGTGATACACACCAGTAATCCCAGCACTTAGAGGTAAGGCAAAAGGTCAGGAGTTCAGGGTCATCCTCGTCTATGTGGTGAGTTCAAGGACCACCTGGGGTTCAGGATACACTATTTTAAAAAGGACAGGAAAAGACCATGGAAGTCAGTACCATTTATGATGTGCTCTGGAAACCATGGGTAATTCACACTAGGTATGTTGGTGCAAGGTGAGGATGACGCCTGTGTCTCTGTGAAGGGGCTACCTGTGTCCCTGTGAAGAGGCTGTCTCCCTTTTTAAAAGCTATGAGGAGTGCTTGAGGGATTTCAGATAGGGTGTGATGAACCCCTGCTCATCTTAAAAGGGCCCCAATGACTAGGGCTATGCTAGAGGCCGTGATCTGGATGAGAAATGCTGGGAGCCTGATCGTTGGCACAGCATAGCAGTGTTTATGAGGGACAGACAGAGCCAGGGACATGCTCATTTGTTTGCTGTCCAGCTGAGAAGGTGGAGTCAAGAACCAGGTATGGCCACTGCAGCCATGGCAGCAGGGCGGTAGCAGTGTTGAGACAGAGAAATGGGAGGTGCCGCCTTCCCAGGGAAATGTCTGATGGGCAGTGGGATACTGTGTGTGGTCCCTGAAAAGAATGTATGGGCTAAGCTGCAGATCTGGGAATTCTCCCTGGAGCTCCCCCACCCTCCATGGCCTTGCCCTCTGCCTGAGGTCAGGACCCCAGTCCCTAACCGCTTCCCCCACCAGGTGTACAACGCTGACGGAGAGTTCCTCTTCAAATTTGGCTCACACGGCGAGGGCAATGGACAGTTCAATGCCCCCACGGGCGTAGCTGTGGATTCCAATGGGAACATCATTGTGGCCGACTGGGGCAACAGCCGAATCCAGGTGAGTAGGGCCCAGAGCTGACCTGAGTGTAGCTTCCTGCCGAGCCTCTTCTCTGCCTGACTGTGCTCTGCTTCCGTTCTTACTTCTTTCCCAGGTATTCGACAGTTCTGGCTCCTTCCTGTCCTATATCAACACCTCTGCGGAGCCACTGTATGGCCCTCAGGGCTTGGCATTGACCTCGGATGGCCACGTGGTAGTGGCTGATGCTGGCAACCACTGTTTTAAGGCCTATCGCTACCTCCAGTAGCTGCACAAGGCTCGGCTCATGGAAGGACAGACATAGGGGTGATTGGACAAGAGGGTCTGGCTAAGAGGTGGGCCAGACCCAGCAGCACTGAATGTGGGCTGTGGGCATGGGTGTGCCCAGTGCCCTTCCCTGCCTCCCCAACCCCACGGTTGCACTTTATTTATTCGGTTCTTGCTTTGGTGACTGGGTGGGCCTGGACTGGTCCCAAGGATGTGTACAGAGCTTCACCCTACCCCATTTACACACCCCCTCTAACACCCTCAGTCTGCTCTCTGCCCCCCCCCAGCCTGGGGCCAGAACAACCTCTTACTTCATAATGGAAGTCCCTCTGGTTGTCTCCCTGCCACCCCATACACACTGACAGAGACAGCAATACCCCACCCTGTACTAAATAAATGTGTTTGCCAAGGTGTTTTTGCTAGGTTCTTGAGGGTTGGGTCTCTGAAGGGTTGGGGTGTTGGTGTCTATTTTGAACTAAAAAGCAATAGGGCAGACAGGCAAAGGACACAGTTTCTACAACAAGTGGTGATTTATTTATTTATTTATTTAAGACAGGGTTTCTTTGTGAAACGGTCCTGGCTGTCCGGGAACTCACTCTGTAGACTAGACCAGGCTGGCCTTGAACTCACAGAGATTCACTTGCCTCTATCTACTGAGTACTGGGATTAAAGGTGTGCGTCACCTTTAATCTGACTGCTTGACTCAAGTGGTGAAATTTTTAAAGAATATTTGTAATTGTTTTGTTTTAAATATTTATTTAATTCTATTAATATGGTATTGTATTTATATGACTGTGTACTACATGAATACAGTGTCTGTGGAGGCCAGAAGAGAGGGTTAGGTCCCCTGGATCTGGAGTTAGAGGTGGTTGTTAGCTATCATGTAAGGGCTAGGAACCAAACCTGGATCCTACAAGAATCAACGGGACTCTTAACCTCCAGGTCGGCTCTCCAAGCCCTAAAGGATATTTTTTACTTAGTCTTTGACAATTTCACACATGTATACAATGTATCTCGGTCATTTCCACTGCAGCTCCCCTGGAGTCAACACATCCTCCTTCCTGTCTTCATGTAACACTTCAGGAGATGAGAACAAGAATGAATCCCTGGGATCCTCAGCCACTTGCCAGTTCCTCATTCCTGGGCCCTGTATCTCTGCATGTCCTGTAGATGTAGGCCATTTCTCCCCCCCCCCCCCCTTCTGAGACTTTGTGTACAGCCAAGGCCACAAGGAGAGCGGCTGTAGTCATGTGAAAGCATTCCTCAGGGCTTCTCCGAGTGGAGCCTGAATGTAAGAGACTCCATGGTCAGTGCTAGAAGTCATTCCAAAGCCCGGGACCCCTAACCCTTTCCAGCTCTCTGTTCCAAGGTTGCCGCCCCTTTCCCACAATGAAATTGAGGTTTTCACATTGCATTCCAGAGCTCTAGTCTCATAGTAGGACTGCTAATCCCAGAGATACGTAAAGCAGTACGCAGGGACCTGGGAGGTAGGGACTACAGTTTCTCTTTCTCTACCAGAGACTGAAGCCTCTACTGAGGAGCAGAGTTGGTCTGTAGCTGTCGTTCTCTTAGCAGTAAATCACACTGCCTTCTCTATCCTGTGCTCTGTGCACTTAGCATGACTGGCAGAGAAGGTTCACAAGATCTGAGGAATGTTGGTCCTAAGAGGTTATGGGAAAGAGAAGATATTGTCCAATATAGCATAAATCCTAGGCCTCGATAGGAGGTACTATAAACATCATGCAATCTTGGCAGAGGTCAAGGGTGTGCTACTTGGACTACATAAAAGCCTCTTTGGTCCTCTCCATCATTGCTGGTTGAAACCTAGTAGGCAGGTGGAGGAATACCCAGGCCTACACTTCTGGCTCTGATTGTGAGCAGAGCTGCCTCGGTCCATGCACTGACCAAAAGAGGCAATGGGCTCAGTATCAATGTAATCTATTCCTTCCCTCCATTCTGAGCAAGCACCAGCTGTGAAGCAGAATGGAAGCTCCAACTTCCTATTTTCAATCTCTTTTGGAGTGCCTAAATGCAAGAGAGGAAAATAGAGGCACAATAAGGGGGACCTTCCTTGGATGAGAAGTTCTAAGTACATCTTCCACCAGGCAATGAACAGAACTCTAGAGCTTGTTTCTAGATTAGGCAAGCTTCCTAGGCTATGCAAGAGGTGTCTCAAAATGAAGCCTCTTAATTCCTCCTAGGTCCACCCACACTGGGTGTTTTCTACTAGTTCTGAACTGAGGTTCAGGTAGGTATAATAGTTGTCTGACTGTGGAAATGGTGTCCTGATTCAATTGATGTGGTTCAAATGATCTTCACATACATGGGGCATCACTACCAATCCTTTGTCAGGACAAACCAGAAAGTCACTTTGTGGTCCTACATGAACTCAAGTCCTGCTTGTTCATCTATGGCAGTGGTTCTCAACCTTCCTAATGTTGAGACCCTTATATAGTTCCTTATTTCTGATGGCCCCTCACCATGAAATTATTTTGTTGCTACATCATAACTAATTTCCCCACTGTTATGAATTTTCCTACTGTTATGTAATTATCACATATGCAGGATATCTATATGTAACCCACAAAGGGGTTGCAGCCCACAATCTGAGAACCATTGCCCTATGGCTATGCATGTTCCACAGGCTCATTCATCTAGTAAAGATTTGCTGAACACTTACTACTCAGGACAATTGGCCAGAAAGAACAATGGGATAGATAGAAATGGCCTGTATCCCTAGGGAAAGACAACATGTCAGGACAAAGAGCTACATGTGCAATGACAACTTGAGGTCAAGTGTGAAGGGAAGAGAAAGTATGAGAACAGAAAGAGTGTTAAATGGGGGGAAACGGGGGAGGCCTGTCCTCATCAGGAGCCTACCGAAGAAGCAGAGTGGATAAGGGACTAACCATGTTACGTAAAGAAAGCAGGAATTTCCTGAGAATGGAGGTCTTGATGGGTTTGGAATCTGGAGGAGGCCAAAGTAGCTTCAGAAAGAAATTGGTTGGGGAGAGGAAAAGACTCGATTTGAAGAGTTAGAGCTGAGCTGTGTAACAGGAACCACTGAAGAACTTGCGCATTAGGGAGGGGTGACATGGTGATGAACTGGTGTCAAGAGTGGCGGGGAGGAGACATCAGCGGAAATGAAAGTGTTAACATCTCTAAACTGCTCCTGTGGAAGACCTGGCATTTCAAATCAACTGTTCCCTCCCAGTTCTAGGTGTGAAATCTAGAGCACGCTGGACAAATATGAAAAGAGTTGCACCAAATGTTTAGCACAACTTTTAAAACAGAAAAGAGATTCCAGATCGACCATCGGCATGGAATAGGTGCATAAACTTTTTGTTAATCTGTATCTTTAAATATCCTAGTGTACCTTAAAAACCAAATAAATAGGAACTGGAGACATAGCTGGGCATGGTGGTATGTACTTTTAATTTCAGCACCTATGTACTTTTTAATTTCAGAGGCAAGAGGATCTTTGTGAGTTCCAGGCCAGCCTGGTCTATATAGAGAGTTCCACGACATAGACTCTGTCCCAAAAGACAAAAACAATGTATACTTTTGTCTTTACAAGCCTGAGTTCTCAGCATGTGGGAGGCTAAGGTGGGCAGATTGCTTTAAGTTTGAGGCCAGCCTGAGCTACACAATGATACCAGGCCATATAGCCAGATCTGTCTTAAAACAACCCCTCCCCCCCCCAAAAAAAAGCTGATATGTGAGGTGTGCTGTAAAAGAGAAGGCTCCTCAGTCAGATGTGTGTTTTTAAGGAGGGTAGTGTAAGAACGAGAAAAGAGCCAGGCAGTGACACACGCCTTCAGTCCTTGCTCTTGGGAGGCAGAAGCAGTTGGATCTCTATGCATTTGAGAGTCTACTCCACATAGCAAGTTCCAGGCCAGCCTGCCTCAAAAGGGGGCCAGGTGAAGGGGTGGTGAGGTGTGACAAAGCTGGAATATGTAATAAGTCTTCTAAGCAAGAACAGGTAACCTCAGGTATCATTTTGGAGAGCACCATGATAATGAAAACGGTGTAGAAGATCAGACTGATCACAGAGGAATAGAAGTGAGGAAGCCATCTCCGTGGGAAGATGAAAAACATGGGGCGTGTACTAGTAAGGGGGCAGAAGTAAGTATACAGGCTTTATGTATAATTAGAAAGCAGAACTCACAGCATTTAATATTTATGTAATACAGTATTTTAGGCATTGTTCCATATGCTGAAGATACATCCGTGGGAGAAAAAGCAGATAAAGCCCTTATCTTGGGGTTGGTGTTGTATAGCTCACTGGTAGGATGCTTGCCTAGTGTGTACCAGACTCCATATTTAATTCTCCAGTACCAAAAAATAATGACATTCTCTGCACAATTAAATAGTATGATGATTAGTGGGTTCTGTAGCTCCTTCGTCCCTGCCTCACAAAAGCTATCAGGGACTTTGAGACCTGGTTTCTAAAAACCAGTCATTAAACTGTAGCTAGGCACCATGGCTCCCGACAGAGATCAGGCTGCCCTCGAACTCACAAAGATCCTCTTGCCCCTGCCTCTTGAGTGCTGGAATCAAAGTCGTGGGGTTTGATTCCACCATGCCCAGCTATATCCCCAGGCTTTTTGTTTTGTTTAAGGGTGCATATAGGGTTTTTAAAAATATGTATTTGCAAAAGTTTGTGAACCTTTCCGTGCTGATGAACATGGAGGTTTCTCTAGGATCTATGACCACAAACCTGTGAGCTGTTAGGTGGTGGTGGCACACACCTTTAATGCCAACACTTGGGAGACAGGGGCAAGCAGATCTCTGCGTTCAAGGCCAGCCTGGTCTGCTTTGAGTGAGTTCTAGGACAGCCAGGACAACACAGAGAAATCTTGTCTCAAAAAGCCATTGAAACAAAACCAAACAAGCCTTTGAGCTCAGTGTCAGGAGACTGTAGTGTGAGACCAACCTGGGTTACCTACTATCTCCAAAAAAACAAATGTTGAACTATAACCTTAAAGTTAAATCTTTTTTAAAATGAACACTGAAGAATATTCAAAAGCATCACTTACTATTTATTTTACATTACTTGTGCCCTGAGTTTCTTTACGTCTGTGGAGTACAAAGACCACATAGACTCCATATAGTAGACAAGTCTCCCCTACTGTATTTCAAACGTTTGGTAGCCTGATCACCTGTGGTAGAAGAATTTACACCTTAGAAGTCAGCAAATGTTATGAATCTGGGCTTCCTCCCGCTAGAGAAGAGCTACTAAGTACTTAGCAGCAGGGGCTTCATAAGCTTAGGAGCCCATCTTGGAATCAGGAAGCCAGAATTTAAATCAGGGCTCCATCAATTTCTAACATTGTGATTTGGCTAAGATATCTATATTGATTTCCTCAATCATAAAACAAGACAAACAGTTTTGCCTTAGCCATTTGTAC